TGTTGTGACTGGTTCTCTTGATTAAAATAAAATCAAAGACTGAAGAAAAAGACTCCTTTGTATAAAAAAAAAAAACTTTAGTTTTCACTATTGTGTCTTTCTGGGTACAGTTATTTATTGGCATTGATTATTTCTTCATGAAAACAATCCACAAAACCTTTTTTTCTACAAATTTTAGAGTCTACATATCAGTATGATAATATGGTTGTGCTTGGATTTCGATCTACCATAGAAAAACACCAACATTGCCGTATTTCTACTTAAACTCAAACAGTTCAAATAATACCAGTCAGGAAAAATATTAGCTATTAGCAGTAACCTGACTCCCCACAGAAAAAGTAACCCAATCTAAGATGGATTGCTGTGGCTGACCCACCAACAGGGATCAATATACTGTCACACATTAATCCATATCATTAGGAGGCATGTAAAGATTTGTCTTCACCATAATGGGGGGATAAAATGGGAAAACATGGGAATGCCAATAACATGTTGCTGTAATTGGCTATTTAGCTTTGTGAAGTTAAATTTCATTAGTGAAAAAAGCAATAATACATTTTTAGTGTACATTTTCGAGAATTCCTCATTGTCTTTGTCAGGCATAGACTCACTAGGGAACTGTTTATTACCCAGGGCTGGATTTTCTTAACTTAAACTTATAGACACAAAGCCTAAAAGACTGTCATGTAAACACTTTAAAACCCCTCTGGGTACTGTTGACCTATTCTAACACTTATCTTCCCTCCTGTTCCAGAGATCTTCACTGTGTTGCTCTGCCTGGAGCCGTACATGGTGCCTCTAGTGGTCCTCTAGAGCAGTGCTCCCCAACCTTTTTATCGCCGCGGACTGGTCAACGTTTGATCATTTTACCGTGGCCCGCTGAAGGGGGGACGTTGATTGTTTATATTTTAGATTGTTTTGATTTAATCATTTTAATTTAATTGTATTTAAACATGCCTTCAAACTAAAATACAGTTATAGTTTTTTTAGCATTTAAAGTTTTATTCCTTGACTGAAGTAATAAGTATCTATCTGATAATAAGTAGATAAGTGAAGTATAAACAAATTTTCTTTTTGTAGTTATACAGGTTAGATCATTGACAGGCCAGCAACTGTCAGACTTCAAATGACCTCTGACCCCCCTGACACTCTGACTAAAGTGCCAGGATGAGACAAAATAAGTAAAGCTAAATAAATGTGAATGTGATGAGTTCCGTAACTTAGCCTGCATTGTTATCACGTTAAATAGTGAGTACTCAGATTCCAGCATAAGCCTTGTTGTGACTGGTTCTCTTGATTAAAATAAAATCAAAGACTGAAGAAAAAGACTCCTTTGTATAAAAAAAAAAAACTTTAGTTTTCACTATTGTGTCTTTCTGGGTACAGTTATTTATTGGCATTGATTATTTCTTCATGAAAACAATCCACAAAACCTTTTTTTCTACAAATTTTAGAGTCTACATATCAGTATGATAATATGGTTGTGCTTGGATTTCGATCTACCATAGAAAAACACCAACATTGCCGTATTTCTACTTAAACTCAAACAGTTCAAATAATACCAGTCAGGAAAAATATTAGCTATTAGCAGTAACCTGACTCCCCACAGAAAAAGTAACCCAATCTAAGATGGATTGCTGTGGCTGACCCACCAACAGGGATCAATATACTGTCACACATTAATCCATATCATTAGGAGGCATGTAAAGATTTGTCTTCACCATAATGGGGGGATAAAATGGGAAAACATGGGAATGCCAATAACATGTTGCTGTAATTGGCTATTTAGCTTTGTGAAGTTAAATTTCATTAGTGAAAAAAGCAATAATACATTTTTAGTGTACATTTTCGAGAATTCCTCATTGTCTTTGTCAGGCATAGACTCACTAGGGAACTGTTTATTACCCAGGGCTGGATTTTCTTAACTTAAACTTATAGCCACAAAGACTAAAAGACTGTCATGTAAACACTTTAAAACCCCTCTGGGTACTGTTGACCTATTCTAACACTTATCTTCCCTCCTGTTCCAGAGATCTTCACTGTGTTGCTCTGCCTGGAGCCGTACATGGTGCCTCTAGTGGTCCTCTAGAGCAGTGCTCCCCAACCTTTTTATCGCCGCGGACTGGTCAACGTTTGATCATTTTACCGTGGCCCGCTGAAGGGGGGACGTTGATTGTTTATATTTTAGATTGTTTTGATTTAATCATTTTAATTTAATTGTATTTAAACATGCCTTCAAAATAAAATACAGTTACACCAAAAAATGAAAGCGTTGGAATTCTTCACCTATTCCACCACCGAAAAACTGGGCGAGATTACGTTAAAATGTGTGACCACGTCACTGGTCACACATTCTAACGTAGTCTCAAACTTTGATAGATCACATGCCTACCTGTAATCATTTAATCAGAGAAATAGATTATAATAGGGAACATTACAGTGTAATATTCCCCATTATAATCCACTTGTCTAATTACAAGAAAAAGCATGAAATAGCTGTACACAACTACTATCCCCACGGCCACATATCTATGACCCATTTACAACCCCCCATCCACCTATCTATTAGGCCTCATTCACACACGAATCGGCCTGCACGTACAGCTCCGTGCTGCGTGCGGGGCCGTACCAAGCAGCTGCCGGGAAGGACAGGTGCTGCGTGTGATTAGAACGCAGCCCCCGTCCTTCTCTATGGGGCTACTCTCCTGTGACTCACCTCCCCTCCCGCCACCTGTTACTATGGACGCGGCCGGGAGGGGAGGTGAGTCACAGGGCCCGCCCCCTCACTGTGAAGCCCGTCGGCAGTGCGGGGCCCCCGCGGCCCGGTACCATTTGATCCACAGACCGGTACCGCTCCGCGGCCCGGGGGTTGGGGACCACTGCTCTAGAGTACGGCTCTCCCCATAGTACCGTAATGACTGGGACCACAATGCACACACGCAGGAAGAAGTGGACAAAGCCTGTGCATCTCTGTGTAGAGCAGCACAGTGAAGATCTCTGGAATTGGAGCCAAAGTAAGTGTTAGATTGGGTCAGCAGCATTCAGGGGCTGGAGGCAAGAATTTATAGGACAACTTTACCAAAGGTTCAGTTCTCCTTTAAGAGTACCCCTCTTCTAGGATCATTTCTTTTACACAAAACATTTTCTTGGTCCTAGCCAGGCGATAGATGTTGTGATAATGTGTAAATAACTTCATAGGATTTGACTCTTCCTACTGATGATCGAAAAAATTGTGACCAATTATTACATAGGGAAAAGATACCTCTTTGCCTCTGCGGCTTATAGGCACATGCCTACTGTGGCTAACGGTACACCCAGTCCTGCTCTTACAAAGGAGATAAATATAGCCCTGAGTTGTAGTATGGGAACTGCCTTGATTAGATGCTTTTCTTCTATATAGAAGTACAGCCCATCACTATGTGGCAAGGTTTTGAACATTTAAGTAGTATTAACAAGCAGTAAATGAGCTTTAAAACAAGCCCTCCTTGACCTCTGAAGCTGCTCACACTGTGGCCTATCCATCCTCCAAGTTTACAGCTGGAGCATTCCACTCATTCTGCTCCCCTCAACCATCAGTGGCCTAGCAGGCAGTCAGACTTCTACATAGCCTTTCTCAACATAGGTGCCACGGCACCCTGTGATGTCATTTTGGTTTGTCAGAGGTGTCACTTCCTGTATGGGTTGAAGTTTGTCCCATATCGGCCGCATGGTATTAATCGTTGCTATGGTGCTGCCAGCAAACCTAGTCACACTGTGGAAGCACATGACAATGATCAAGGGTGTGCAGCATCTCCGGTTGTCCCCATCATTCAGAAGAGGACGGAAGTCTCCTCCTCTCTGCCATGATGGCTGTAGTGTAGGCAAGGATTATGATGTACAGAGGGGACTAAGGACTCTGGTGTGAAAGGAAGGAGGGGCTTCTGATGTAAAGGGGGGACTCTGATGCCAAGGGATTCCTGATGTGAAGGGGAGACTCTCATATGAAATGGAAGGATTTTCACATGAGTGAAAGGCTACTGAAAGTTTGCTACGCTTCTCAGCGAAAAAATTAACTCTTCAAGACTAATTTACATAAAGAACAAATACAGGGAGCAACTAGACTGGGGTGCCTTGAGATTGTGCACACATTTAAAAGTGCTGTGACTGAAAAAAGGGTGAGAAACATTTTTCTAATGTAAACACAGAGAAGGTGCACAGGAAAACAGATCAGAGGGAGCTATAGCTATATCAGAGACCCAACCTGGAACAACTCACTGCTTCTCTTGTGAATTTTAAAGATGCATTGCTCCACATTGCCTGCAGCTACAGAGATAATAGATTTCTTGTTGTAATGCTCATTTGTTTTTTCTTATTGCAAAAAAAAAAAAATACTTGATTGTCCATAACCTGGCCACAGATTCCTTTTAAAGATGAAGAAAAGCTTTTCTAGATAAAAAAGACAAGAGAACTGTGTGACGCCATGGTGATGAGTTTATAAGTTAAATGTGTATTGGTGTTGGGTTAGGTTTAAGTGCGTTATGCTGTGTGACCTGGTTATGAAAAGACTATCAGCACCATCCCTCGTTATCTCCCTTTGTACTCTGAAGGAGCTCAGAACAATGACATTCTGGCCAGGCTCCTGCTATGGCTGTCTGGAGCTCGTTAGCAGGGGAAAGCCTGTGTTGTTGAGCAGACCGATTGTCTGGGGAAGGCAGGGTGGATGTGATGGGATTATAATCTGATCTCATCACTTGCTGTATAAAAGTTTGTGCAGTTGCTCAATAAATCAGAGTTTGTTTCACCCTACACTCGTGTCTCGACCAGTGACTGTGGAAACTGAGAGCTACAGATCAGCGGGTTGCAATATCTCCTGAGCTAGGAAGAAGACAGCGGCGGACATACTTATCCTGAGTACCGGGGTTCGTCACAAACTGACCTTTCCTATTTCAGGTCAAGGGATTACCCTTTTGCAGAAAAGATGCATGTTCAATGTATGCAGGGTTTATAATCACTTTACTCACGAATCATAATCCTGGATGATCTGTCCCACTGACCAAAGTGCAGAGAGATATTCATTGGTTCCCATAGGATTGATGTAATGTAAAGATGAGGAGTCCCGTGGATTTCCATTTGATGCTGTGAAGTCAATTCCAACCTAGGTACATAACAGTCATCTTATGTTTAAGATCAAATATACCATCTAAGTAAATACCATGTTACATGCCATGCATTTAATGCTGTTTACACCATATTATTAAGTGGAGCAGTTGTTTACAAACAATGTATTCGGCCATTAATTGTTCCTCTGGAGAAGAGCTAGAAACCATTCAAACCAATCATTTACAATGACCCGTAAACATGAACAATCAGCTCTAAATAACGTGTTTATTAGACCAAAACTGGGCTGATAAAGCATATCGTATTTATTTACATCATATGCATGTGGTCTGCTAAGAACCAGCATGCTTTATGGTTTCTTATTAAGCTTATATAGCTGCTTCATACCACAACTTCCCCTTCTGTTTAAACTGCAAGTTTTTATTTTAGCAGCTGTGAAAGGAAGTTGAAGTTAACGATTATGTGAAAAGACTTCATCAAGATAAACAGTTCATTCCAAATATGGTCTGATCAAGTAGTAGGCAACCTTAGCCATATAATAGGGCTCTGTTTGTAAAAAGGGGTACCATTTATTTCCTGCTGGGTTGCCAAGAGCCTCCAGGAACCCAGTGAGATCTCCTCTTAGCTCCGTAGCAGCCTTGAGTTTATGCTGACCTGCTATGTTGGCCCTATTAAATCTTCCATATATCCCTAAGGAGAAATCCAGTGGGGGCAGAAACAATTACTACTATACTTACCTTCCTCTCACTGGAATATATGGAAAACTTACTTGTACCAAATGAGCAGTGATAGAACCATTCTAGTGCCTAACTTCAAAACAATTAACAATTTAATGTATGGTGCCAGAGTCAGACAGACACTTTTCCCACACACTTTTCAGTACATATGTTCAAATGCCAATTAATCTAGTCTACCAGTTTGTTTCTGGATCGTGAAAGGAAGCCACCTGGAGGAGAACATACATACGCCATAAAATTTCCTGGAAGGAATTTAACCCCGGTTCTCAAAGCTGTGAAGAGTGTTAACTCTAGTCTCATCCCTACA